TAAATTTAACATATTTTACTAAAATAATCCTCTCACCAATTTGTGGATCATCCGGCTAACTCATTGTTTTTATACCACGGATAACAAGGTCCATGTGTCTTCTATAAAGAATATTGTTATCGTACCTTGAGTTTGCGTCCCCTTCAATTCTCCGATAAATCTTAGCTTTTTGAATAACGTATAAAGTTTCCAATTTCTCATAATCATGAGTTTTTCTCAAAACATTCGAACGATCCCCATTGCTTTTGGAGTGGCATTTCCTTGATCAATCTCACAAAGTCTTCATTGTAACATATTATTTTCACCATTGTTTATTATTATTATTATTCAAATTTTGATGAAGCATTCATTTTTTTAAACTTTTCTTGGATCAACACTAATTTACTTGTGTTAGGTGAATGTCTGAATCTAATGAACGGTTCAAAATCTCTATAACATCGTCAAAATCATCCCATTTAATGCAAAAATAATACAACTTGAAAGTTGCCACCGCGTGTTTGAAAAGAACGTGTCTATAATCCAAAATTGATTTATCCGACGACATTAACATAAAACCCGAAACATCTACAAGATTCTCGAAAACTACAAATCTATCCGATTTGCTAGTTTTTAACCATTAACACTAATTTTGGTACGATCATACCCACCCATAGGAACATTTCTTATCAAGTAGCCCAACTTTATGAATGAAATCATTAAATGAATTTGGCATATCTTGAGGGAGAAAAAAAAAAAAAAGTACCCTCCCGGAGTGTAAATCTGATAGAAAACTAGATAAGGTGTGTATTCATGAAAAACTTAGGAATCACACAAGCCCCCTCGACAATAATAACGTATTCTTTCCGGGTACCTGTATTTATTACAACCACCAAAGGATCCTAAATGCCTCGTAATACTCATTTGGCCCTTTCCCTAAATACTCTTTACTTTTACAGGATCTAACGGACCATACATGTTTCTTGGATCCCAAAAAGCCTAAAAGTATGCTTTCTACACAACTTCATGTCTTTATTCCATTTGTCATTGCTTCCATCCCACAAACATTTAACAGAAAGAATATTCGTTTATCCATTGTGTTCTCACTCAATAATTTAAGAACGTATGATTTACAACCTTTCGAGTACGTTCTCACGTGGCAGAGTATAAGGATGAATAATCGGCTTATCCAACGAATTCTCGACATCAAAATCATGTTCCTTGACTATGGATTGCTTCTAGAACCCCTCGACAGCAACACAATGAAATCAACCCCATCAAACCCTCGTAGTTTCGCAATGGATTGAGACGAGCTTCCATCTTCATTGGCATTAACTTAGTTTATTTATCTTCCTTATCATTAGTTATGTCTTTCACAGTGACCATGTCCTCCCAAGATATTTGTTTTTTTAAATTAGCACTATCACCCTCAAAACACATGTCATCCCTCCTGTGCATGCTTTTTTTTTCCAACTTGATTTGATAGACCTCCATAAACTTTATCCCCACAACCGGTGTTTGCTCATGTGTATGCTGAACAATATCCATAAAAACATTCTCCTACTCATCGCCACTTACATCCTCACCATCAATTGATTCATTGTATTCTCCTTGTTGACTTATATCATCCACATTCTTCTAAATGTTATCAACGCGGCATCTAATCCCTTTCACACACACTCTATGCTGCTGCCACTTACATCCTCGCCATTAATTAATCGAATCATTGTATTTTTCCTTTTTGACTTATATCATCCATATTGGTTCTAAATGTTATGAACCCGACATCTAATTCCTTTCATGTACACTCATTGCTTCACTTCTTCATTTACCACCGTAACACACTCTACCATTTTCTGATTTAATTGATTTTACACACTCTCATCCGTTAAATGTTTCTTTTTTTCTTATCCCGGTCAACAAACATAGCTTCATCCCAAGAAATTGTAATTTTTTTTAATGCAACGGATGTCCAAGCACACAGAGGAAGGGAATTAAGGCCCTAAATTTCAAGCCACACCATCCTTTAATCAACCGAAAAGTTATCTGTTAACAACCTCATCTCCTTAATGTGCCAATATTCTCTTCATATTTTTTCGAACTAACTGCAAGGATTTTGAGACTAGGATTCAATACACACTCACATACCACCAATATACTTAACTTTAATTTTGTTAAATCATTCTTCACTACACACCTTATACAAGTTTTCTATGAGATTCAAATTTCGAACACACCCAAGATCCATACACGATAAGTCTATCAAATTCTACATAAAATTTTGTTCCAAAAAAACATAATATGTTCATGTTGACTACGTGTCTCCCCTTCCCTACCGACATCGAGGCATAAGATTTTGAATTTCCTTCCCGACTTCATTTTTATTACCATCTGAATTTACTTGTGGTCTCTGTTGATCCGTATGGACTAACTTTGTTTTCTCTTCCCTTCTAAGCATTGCAGTCGAAAAAAATAAAAGAAATCTCCCAATCGATATGGTGCAAAAGTTTTGAATCAAACACTGCTTATCAACATGTAAGAATCTGACAAAACCAAGCTTCATCCCTAACAACTTCTTAGCCATATAAACATCAACCACTACTCCGTATTTTTCACATATCTTCCACAAATCCTTCGTCTCCAAATCCCCTTGAAAAAATTGTAACAAAAATGTCGTCAAAGACAAATCTCCCACCTTCTTTAAATCAAGTTCTCATTTGATTCGGTTTTCTTCCCAAACATCCACTCAACAATTTGTGTGTTTGCATGTTTACTCGGCATGATTCTCATGTGAACCCACCTTGAATGCAGTTGAACCCCCCCCCCCCCCCCCCCCAAGACCGGAACGCTACACAGAGGTCATTGCAAGCTTTTTTTGTTTTCAAAACATTCCACAATTAACCTTGAATGCAGTTTACCGATTTGAAGGTTATTCATCTTTCATTTTCATCTAACACTTGATTTCATGCTCTTATATCGAAAAATAACTAGGATTTTGATTTTTTAACTTGTGTAATGTCGGTTTTGTATTTTGAAAATATATTGGCGTCATGGCCTCGGCTTGAGATGTCAGTTTTTAATAGTTATACTAAAAATATCATCACATATTTTCCTATATGTGTTATGATTTAATAGATTTAACACACAAAAGTAATTTTAGCCTGATGTCCCCATAATATAGTATTTCAAAAATGCATTTCCAGTAAGTTATTTGTTGATAGGAAATGGTCGTAGGGATGTAACTAGGGCTTTCTTACTTGTGTTGATATATGCCTGTAATTATCAAACAAAAATCTTTAAAAAATGCTTACAAAAAATAACACGACATATGTCCCGATGTTTCTCATATGTAGTAGGGTCAACACAAAGAAGTCAATTTATCAAGATGTCACCACAATGTAGCATTTCAATAATCCATTGAAAATAAGTTATTCGTATTTAAGATATGGTCATATGCTTTTAACTAGGGTTTTATTTCGTTATGTTATTACATGCTTGCAATTATCGAAGAAGGAACCAAAAAAAAGGCACTGCTCACGAAGAAAAACTATAAACAAGTCGTCATGTCAATGATGCGCTTTTAGTTACCTTGCATCTTAAAACGAGCGAGCATAAGGTAGACAGTAGGTTTATGGTTAAACATGCCCCGATAAAGGCGCGGATTATAGATTTCCAGACGTTCGGTCCATGATTGTTCCATGGAGTATTACAGAGTCTATGAGATTTTAGGTTTAGTGCTTACAATATATCGTATTCCGTTCTACATAAGTTGAAGTGCTTAGTTTCTCGTATTTAATGGTGTTCTATTATGTATTATTTAAACAAAAAGTATGATGTGTGAAGCATGATTATTTTCAATAACATAAACACTAAATCAGATTACATAAAAAGGAAACCGATGGCACGGCAGCATCGACATTGCGAGCTGAAGCTTGTATTTCGCGTTGATGTTATGTTTTGGTGGGACAACACGGACAACATCTCCCGAAGCTTTTAGAAGTAAGACGGACCTTGTCGTCATCTCTTCACATTCATTTCCCACCATATATATGGGGGTACCAGGATAGTCATACAAGTTGATGATAAGTTGGACTGGAATATAAGAAACCATGTGATGGTTTCGAAGAATCAAAATCCCTTGATGTCGTTGTAGATAGTTTTGTTTTACATGACGAGAAGTTCAATTACAATATGTTGGTGGAATTGTTAACGAAAAGAATATTTTAGTTTGTTTATGTATATATTAGCGAGTGGTCCCACATCTGTGTAATCACCGGGCTTGGTAACGTTTGCCTGTAACCCAAGTGGGGTATCAAAGTGGGTTGGATTATGATTTGGTCGAGTTGGTTGGTCTGGTGGTGTGTAATTTGACCTGCCTGTTCCAAGTCTTGAGTTGGTTCAAGTGGCTGCCCGTTCCAAGTCGAGAGTTGGTTCAAGTGGCTTGAGCGAAGGCTTTGGGTCTCTTGGAACCTAGAGAAAGGGGGCAATGCGTTAGGCTGGCTTCACAGAGCTGCGAAAACTCCTCGCTTCCGACGGTGGAAGGATAACAGGTCTCGGCTCTTCAGGCCCATATTGCCGACTAGTCCGACTCAAATGGACACCCGCTTTTTTTTTTTTTTTTAACCTGTCCATTTTGTCACTACTATCTATTTCTTCTATATTCACATAAACCTTGTTTTGTTTCATCTCCTGAAAAAAGATCATTAAAACCAAGTCATAACTATCTGTCCTTTTGAGTCTCTTGGAGCTTAATTAGCATATTTGAAACAAATCCATAAAAGGTATAAGAAATCAGCAAACAAGCTAGGTCCATGGTTGAAATTAGGGAGTGGGTTTCATCTTTCTGGCCCTCTTATGAAGGATAACTGATAGCTAGTTTCTGCTGGATTTGTTTTGTTTCATCTTCCTTCCTAAAGAAAAAGATCATATAAAAAAAAACTCATGGGATATCTATCCTGATCAGTCTCTTTGAACTTAGCATGACAAGGATGCCCATGAAAGAAATGAACTTAGCATGACACTGGATGCCCATGAAAGAAATCCGTAAACAGGGTAAAAGCATGGTTGAAATTACAGGAGGGCTCCCATGCAAAGATTTTCTGTCACTTATTTTTATTGGAAAGATAACAAGTTTCTGCTGGATTAATACAACTTTTCAAATCAAATCTATCAACATTGAA